ACGCGCAGCTGATACGATGGTTGAAAAGAGTAAGAAAACAATCCCTGGAGGAGAAATGCCATCAGGAAACTACGATTACAATGTCGTAACGTAGTAGAAGAAGTTGTGATAGTGCAACCAAAGATGATTATACGACATCCTTATAGTCGTGTTAATTCAGAAATCACGGAGAACGAGTGTGTACCACTCTTATATAATCAAGGACCAATACACTGAACTAACTTTAGCATCGGAGGGACCTTCCCCAGCAACCACCCCCTAGGCTAGTTGTAGTCGGTTAAGTGAATTTGATGGGTTTTGCCCGTCAGGCTGGAATAGTGGATCGTCTGCATCTTCATCGTAGTCGTTACTTGTTAATTATGTCCTGTCTTGTTGCTTAGCTTGTAATGTCTGGTTCGTTTGCTTAACTTAGCTTGTTTGTTTTGTGTGTCGGATTTGGAAATTTGTTTGAGTTCTATTGAAATTATAATATCTATGAGAAGTAAATAAATCATCTATTGAAAATATAATATGTATGAGACGTCGATCATTCTAAAACAAGTTGTACACATACAAAGTAATAATCATGTCAAAGTAGTAAAATCAATTTCACAAACACAAACTTTAATATTTCATTATAAAAGATCATAAATTTAAGTAAACTAGTTGTTACATCGCACACTATAATATAATATAATTGTTAAATTTCATTATTTCCATGTTACGAGCAATGTTTTCTAAGTCTAGCAAAAAATAAGGATATCTAAATATCATACATATAAAAAAAGGAACAATAATCTTACAACCTATCCAGTAAGATGAGGTAAACATTATGTTTCGGATGAAAACAATAGGACCTTCAGCAGGCCCTTTTCAAAGGAGAAGATTGGTCTCGTTCCAAGTGATAACTGGGCTGAGAATTTCCTGCACAGCAAGCACACGTAAACTAGCCTCGGGGGTGGTTGTTGGGGAAGACCCCTCTGATGCTAAAGTTAGTTCAGTGTATTGAGAGTAAATGCTATGCAGGAGGATTAATTGCTTGAGGGTGATTGTGAATGAATGATTAATGAGCCAATTGATGGCTTTTATACCTTTGCTCAATGGAGGCGAATTGGACCTTTGAAGTCAGATGGGCTTGCCATGCTGACTGAGCTTTTTTGACTTTAGCATGCTTTGAAGTTTGAAGAGTTGAACCTTGCTTTTAGACTTTTGTAATTAAATCATTTGGGCCGGCCCAATTAGGTTAACTGAATTGAACCCAAACACATTATTTGAATTTTTCCCAATTGAGTGAGTGGATGTGAGTAATTCCTCTTACAACTTCTATGGCCATTCTCCCCCACTACTAAAAAGTGGTGAAATTACGACGGTATGTCTAATATAGCGTCAAAATATTTGAAATCTAAGGATGGTTTGTCCTTTAGCAACATTTAAAATTTACTGAATTGAGGGATGTGGAAATTTTCAGCCGGCCTCGCTCATCAAGATCATGATCACACAACAATTCCCAGAATTTGGTTTTAAGGACAGCAAACTAGCAAAGGTCCAACATAGTGATTTGATGTGTTTGGTTGTAGTAAATCAATGTAAATTCTAAGAACCAATTAATTGACAACTTGGGATGATGGCTGATTATCCTTGTAAACCATTACTTATCAGTTTCATTTTCTCATGAACCATTACATATAATTACAGCACACATTTTTCATATGTAAGATCTGATATTATAGTGATAGCAATAATATTCTGTAGCAAGCTTGCAACTATCCCACAGTGACGGTTCTAGGAATTTTTGCATATGGGTTCGGATTTTCAAACATAAGACAACTAATTAAATGGTAACAATTATTCGGAGTGGCACTCATACAAATATGAAATTAATAATTGTAAAAAGTATTTATTTACTACATAGTGACTAACCCATTTTTGTTGTGTAACCCATTTTCATTTGTATTAATCAGAACGTTACTAAATTTTGATATCATCTAGATATTGATATCATTTCACATATTAGTTCTACCAACAAAATAAAGGTCGTGTAATAACTTTTCAAAATTAAATATTGCTGAGTAACTAATATTATTGAGTTAAACTTTTTATATTCTGTTTAACCTAGGAAAACATCTAAAACAGAAGTCCTGTACAAAATGATAACATGAAAAGAAAAAAAAACTCAAGATGGCGTTGACAGGTTTCGAACCCGCATCCCGCTGGCGCTAACTTAAAAGTCTTGCAAGCTAGTTTGGACCACTGAGACGCGATGGCATATATTATAATTTTATGCGTGGAATTGTAAATAAACAATTTCAATTTTTTAGAAACTTGCATATTTTTCCCAAAATCCAGTATGGGTCCAGCTGAACCTACTGAACCCACACTGGAACCGCCACTGACTATCCAATTAACATTTTCTTAACCATTGATAGTTTAGTCAGTGCTGGTGATTTAAAGTTGAAGAAACCCTCTTCATTCAGAGCTAATTTCTTTGCAGGATGAAGATTAATATCAGAGGAGGGTAACAGAGGAATAGCATCAAAGCAACTAAGCAGTGGCCACTGGGGTTGGTTCCAACAACGACCCACCACCTGAAAACATTTTCATTAATTATTTTGGTGGAGTATCATGCATATTCTAGAAGCTTCCGGAATGATCAAGCAAGGTCATTACTTGCTCATGATTTCTCATAATAACCTACCTGAACGTTCTAGAGTATTAATGACATTGGAAGCAATTAGAATAAATAGTTCGTGAATTTTCTAGAACATCATGGATATATACAAGAAAGATGGAGGTATTTCCAGCCATTTCTTCCTAGCTCCAGTTACAACAATAAATATGAGTTATGGGTATTCAATACATACACACATAAGAAGCCATACCATACACACCAACCTTCCTACGTACTACACCTCCTTGTACTATACACCTCTTTATCAATCCACTATTCCTATTTTTGTACTACTCCATTATGAGTTTCTATAGTGAGAGTTCTCGTGTACTACTCACCCTTTCAAGGGTTTTTGTACCTTCCTATTTTCATATAGTGCGTCGTTCATGATTTTTTTTTTTTTTTACATTTTTTTTTTTGATAATTTTTCTGAATGCTCAATGCTGACAGAAAGGTAAAACAACCAAAATATAAGAAAAAAAATATACATAAACAGAAATAATATGCCTATGAACAAGATTTTAAAGATTGAAAGACACCTGGAGACTTAAACAATAATATGAATTTGGAAGTGTTTTTTTTTTTTTTTTTTTTTTTTTTTGGACACAAATTTGGAAGAAATATTCAAGTGACCATTGATGGCTGTAAAGTGTAAACTGTCATAAGGAGTAGAAAAGGCATCGATCTGTTCAACAAATTAAGTGATCCATGACTTAATTCATATCAATAAAATTTCTGGTATTTAAAACATATACTATCGTTTTTCAAACAATTAATATGAATTTGGAAGATATGTTCATTGACTGACCATTTGGAAGTATGGTTTTTCTCCTCGTTATTCAGAGTTTACCTAATTTCTTAAAATTATATATGGTTTATTTTAGTCTTTTTGGGTTGTTGTCCTGTTTTTCTGGTTGTTTTGGCTATAGTTTATTGGATGGTTGTGTGAGGAGAGAGTTTGGATACTTTGTCAAGGGATTTGGTGTTGTTGTTGTGTCGAGAGAGGTAACTTGGGTTGCCGTTGTTTGGAGGACGAATGAGAAGTTGGCCATGGTTAGGGTGTGGTGTGTTTTATGGTGGAATGACTATGGTTGTCATTCTGCTCCTTTCATTGGAGTGATCATTGTGATCATTACTCTTGATTTTTTCTATCCGAAGCAGGCGCCTAAACTTTGGTTTGAGATTTCACGAGCCTCGACGTTGTTAAAGCTATCTTGCAAACAAGAACAGCTTATGAAAGATAGGTCACATGTCCATGTGATCGGTTTGAAGGCCTTATGTGGTGATAAGTTGATCCCATTAGGTAAAGTTAAACTAGCCATGACCAAAAAGTTTCGATTCTCTCTGCTCTCTTTATGTTTTGAAGTATGTATCCGCTCTTTGGCCTATAAAGAGATCATGATTCACAACTTTTCCGGCCAACTCCAGTTATGTATTTTGGTTTTTAGTGTCGAAAGTTGGAAAGGCTTAAATGTTAAAAGCCATATAGTAAGGTTTAGGTTTTATTTCGTATGTTGTAAACTAATATCATTTGGTTTTTATTTTATTAATATCATTTGCTTTTGTCAGAAAAAAAAAAAAAAAAAAAAAAAAAGAAAAAAGACTGACCATTAAAGGCATCGATCTAATTTGGCACATAAATGATCCAGAAAACCTAGGAATGCCTATATAGCTTGTGCACAAGAAGACATAGCAAAATAAACTTGTTTGTTTGATTATATTTAAATATTTTTAGTAATAAAATCTTGTTTGTTTGATATAAATGACAAAATATATATACATATAAAGTTTTCATAAATCCAATAAATTCCAATAATTTTCATTAAAAATTAAGAAATTGTCCATCTATCAATCTATCAATCAAAGCCTTAATTCCATAATTAAGTGAGGTCTGCTACATGAACCAAAAGTGATATTCCGTATAGTCATCGACAAAAATCTTCCTCCTTCATCCCTTACGATCCAATGCATCATTTTCGTGCAAATCCACATACTTCATATCCTTGGACCACTTCATATCCACATATTCATATCCTCGTAAATCAATCAATCAATCAAAGCTTAATCCCATAAGTGAGGTCGGCTTCATATCGTCATGCAAATTGTCCATCTCTTTGGTAAAAATATTACTCCATCCATTTCATTAAATTAGCTTCCATTTCTTTAGCTTTATCCAGTTTTTTAGATTTATGATAGAAGTTCTCCGCATACATATACTACATGCAGGGTGTTAAGTGTACCATTTTTCTTTAAAATAATGATTTTTACTAATTGATACATGTAGTATAAAGAATTTTTTGTTAAAGTTATGAATAGGCAAATATGACAAAACAAAGTTAAAAAAGAAGAAAAAAAAGTGAAAGTAATCTTAGTATTATGATGAATTAAATTAACCACAATTTCAACAACATTGGATCAAGGGAAAGGTAAACGTTTCTAAATTTAACTTCATCCTTATTAACTCTATTAAAATTATAAAGGAAAAGTATAAAGTAGGAAGAATTTTCCAACCTAAAATCATGACATAACCTAACCCTAATTGTATCTCTCAGAAGACAAGCCTTCTGCAACTGCTGTTTGTTCTTTTGACCGCGAGTGAATCTTCCACAGCCAACCCTTGAGCCCCAAAGCAGAAGTACTGATTCATCAAACTCTTGTTAAAAGAGCTTACCCTTCTATGCTTCTCACCCACCAACGGCTTTCCACCACTTAAAGGCCCGCTAAAAAATGAGGATCTTCCAGGACTTTTTCTATCATAGTCGCCTCTCAGCTTATCTACTGCAGTAGGGGAAGATGTCAATGATTCAGAAATTGAGCTCGAAGGAGAATATCGAGCCAACGATAAACAAGATCTGGGCGGTGTTGCTTGCACCACTCCTTGCATTAGGCTTGCAGTGAATTTCTCCCGGGCAGAAGGGCTCGGAGCTGCCCTTGAGAATTTTTGTCTGAGTGGAGTTATACTTTCATCTACATTTCTGCACACCTTAAACATTCCAACATCATTGTGCTCCTCCACCTTTGTACTTGCTAATTTGTGGTGTGGGTTGGGTGATTCGATTTGTGTAGTAGGGCACATCTCTATTTTGTCGGGTCTTCGAAGAAAATTTAGCCATTTTGAAGCTTTCTTGTTGCTCTCTAAGCCAAAATGGCTTGTTACTTCGCTAGAGCAAGAGCTGAACCTACTACTAGGCGGTTCACAAGTAACCTCAGAGTCATTCCCGTCTCCTGCATATGGGAATAACTCGGCATCTGGTAATCTGAAAGAAGTCCCAGGACTAGTTCCAATGCCCTGAATTCTCAACTGCCTAGCCAGAGCACTTCTTGTAGTAAAATCTTGACAATCAGAAATCCCTCCAGCTGATGTAAATGGCTTGATTAGAATATTAGATGATGCTGTATTAGGGCATTGCTTGAGGAGATCCAGAGGGGTTAATTCATCAATATCACGAATATTTAAATCGATTGAAGGTACCCTCATTAGGAGCTCCACAACATTGCACTGAATGTTCTCAGCAACAGCTACATGCATTGCAGTTCTTCCTACTTTGTTTCTAATATTGATGATGTCTTCCAAACTGACAATTTCACCACTTGCTAGCCATTTGATGAGCTGAAGCTGCTGGGTGATTCGATGGAAGCCAGGGGACTGGAACCCAGCCACTGCCATGTGTAGAAATGTGTTGCCATCATTGTTTCTCGATGTGGCTAATGAGGGTGATTCAAGGACTAAAACCTCCACTACAGCAGTGTATCCTCTGTATGCAGCAGTATGTAATGCAGTATTCCCTTGATTATCAGTGGAGCTAATGATGCTACTATATGTTGCTATTAAATCCTTAACCACCTGCCTCCCAGAATGATAGGTTAGCGAGATGATTAACCACAAGTCATTCTCAATTGCAAAGCAGCAATTAGCAAGTTTAAAAAATAGTTCGTATTTGTTTTTGGTGAGAAGGGAAAATTGTACAATCAATGGATTTAATTTTTTTTTAAACCATAGTGTAGAACTTTCTCCAAGTCATACTATTGCACCTTTCCCTTTATTGGATTTCCCAAATTATTTGCACACTCGCCTTTTCAAGTAAGCTCTTGAACTTTTCTCTCTAAGGCCCTCCCCCCTCCTCCTATCCACAATTTTTAATCTTCATGCCATGAATAAGATACAATATAATGTGAGATTTCCTAAAAAATGTTCTTAGAGGATTTTCGAAACAACCGCTCTACTAATAAAAGGTTAGACAAAGGTAAGACTGTATAAGACGACAGGTGAGATCCATACTAGGCAGTGGTTGTAATTGGGAATGCAGTAAACAAAAGGCAACATGTAATTAATCAGACAAAATTCTTTACAAATTCAAAAAGCCAAAGATAAGCCAATAAATCTAAATCTAGTAAAACAGAGAATAATCATGATCAATTAAATTATTTTTTTAGAATTAAACAAAAAGTTCTCACCTCAAATTGGCCTCTTCCAGAAGCAGAATGCAAAATGGTGGATCCTTGACCATCTCTATAACCCGAAACATCAGAACAATCCAACAAAAGTTCCTTGAGAATCTCTAAGTTCCCTCCTCTAGCAGCAGCATGAACTGCCCTATTCATCATCTCCCCTACAAAATCCTCCCCTAATTCGTCACTACCTTTATTCACATTCATAGCAGAATCAAGCAAAAGCCTAAAAACCTCAGAATTCTTGCTCCGAGCAGCAGCGTAAAGAATATCAGTGACACCATACTCACCTTCTCCAACAACAAGCAGCGGATCTCTCTCAAGCAAGTTCTTAACAAACTCCATATCTCCTGCTGACGCTGCGGTGTAGAGGAGCCATCCACCATAGCCAGCCCTCATCAGAGAATTATGCTGCAGCCTGTCACCATGACTGGGTTCACAGTCCATGAGGAGAGCACAGGCAACACGAGCCCTACAATGGGCAACTTCATCATGTGGGCAGGCTTCTGCTTCGAGGCTGTCCTCCCAGACAGTCTCAAGGCGGCGTATTCGGCGGAGGGAGGTTAGTTTGATGAGAAGGTTAGGGTCAATGCGGAGAAGTTCTTTAACTAAGTCACAAAGGCCATTGGCTGCTGCCCAATCTATGGGGGTTGCATACCACCATTGGTCTCCTGTGCTCTCCCAACTAAGAGGGAAGTATGGGGTCGACATTTTTTTATCTACCAAGAAAGAGCTAGAATTCAGAGACAAAACAACAAGAAATGGAGGGAGTTACAAATAGAAAGAAAAGCAATATATAAAACGAGAAAAACAGGTACATTGCATTTACTTTGTACAGGCATTTCCTTGCAGAAACTTTATTCCAAAAACAGAAGAAGGATAGTTTTAAAGATTCTCTAATGCCTGTAAATAGTACATAAAGGGTCCAACTATGAAAATGACAGTAAACTGTGAGAGTAAAAGAAAATGAAATTTAGTTGGTCCCACTAATATGTTATATGACTCTATTAGATCACGAGGAAGAAATTATAAAGGGGCCAAGGGTAGTTGTGTCATTTATCAACATTATTTATTTTTAAAGTGAAAAGTGGCATGAGAAATACTGGAATACTAAGTACTATAATTTAAACATTACCTGCACATTCAGAGAATAGCAGAACTGAAATCTCATTTACTGGCTTCATCTTGTTTATTAAAAAGAGAGGGGGCAAGAGGCAGATCTAAATTTTCTCCCTTTATCATCAGACATTTTCCTTATATTAGAAATTGATTATGGAGTACTAATCTATTAAAGGATTAGACTAACAAAAATTTATCATTTCCCATTTCAAATTTGAGATACCCCAAAAAAGTATTATCATATGAAATTACGAACATTTGAGTAAATTTAGTCTAATAAAATTTCTCCAGCTTCATTTTCTCCTTAGTGAAATTCCGCACAGCACAAAATCACATACATTCTTAGGCGAAGAAGTTTAACATATCAAATAGCAGGCAATTCAATGTACCACCAGTATAAAAAAAATACTAAATGAAATACAGGTCAACAAATGCGGCAGATCCACACTAACTGCAATATGATATAAATCTGATGATAAATTAATAATACTACTTGTATTGTAAATCTAGCGGAAACTGTTAAGCTTTGTCTGACATAACGAGAATCTAATATGGAAGAGCAATTATTTTGGTAGGAAAAAGGATTTTAATTATCATTATGTTCATCCAATAAAAGACCCCATCTTGGATCAACTACGTTGGGCCCACACTGCACATGGCAGCTTAGTAGAAGAGAGAGAAAATGAAGTTGCATGGAATTAAGCTAATTTCATTAATCCCTTTGTCTCTACCTTAGTGTCTTATCATTTGTTAGATGATGAAGTGCCCTTAAATCAGATCAAGAGAATTGATTCTTCATCTTTTTCTTTTTCTTTTCTTTGTTTTATTACCTTACTAAACAAGCCTCATGTCATGTGTCTAAACAATATGAAAAAAAAAAATGCAGGTATCCTATGCAAAAAAACCACAACATCAAACATAAAGAGATCTGAGTATGACAACACTTGCTTTAGGCTCCATCCAGAGTAATAGATTCGGCCGCATCACCGTGATGTAACGAATCTTGGACTTACAACATTGATCGCGATTGCATCCTAAAAATAAAACCCTGGCTCAATCATGCCAGAGTTTAGGCAGGTCAAAATAAATGTAACTGTATATTTGTAATACTGTATGGACTTGTGATCTTGGGAGTTGAAAGAATCACTGGATTGACAAAACTGAAGACGGATACAAGAAACAATAAATAGTTTAACGGATTGGATGATATTGGCTTCATTGATAAGAACAGACAACAAAGTTTAACTACTGAAATATTGGTGAATGGATTATCCAGAACCTAACAAATGGAAGAAAAGCAGAATACATACTGTTGGGGGGAGTGGCAATTGCTAGAGCAATGTCTTTTGGTGCCAAACTTATCTATCAATCAGATAAGAAGAGAAGGAATTAAAAAGACATGCAATGTCTAAAAAATTTGGTGCCTAAGTTCCAATCAAAATATCATCCAAAAGGCCCTGCCTACATCATTTTGGTATACACTACACAGAAATTGAAGTTGCAACATTTTGCTACAAATTAAGGCTACACTTCACGAAGATGAAAATAAAGAAGGGACAAGTTTTTATCATAAATCTAATTAGAATATTAGGGAGAAGTGTTCAAGTACTCTCACATCAGCTAAAACTATTTTTGATCTCATCCATTTTTACTTCATATTTTAGTACTGAAATAATGCAGACTAATCAAATAAGCTACGAGTTTAATTCTTATTTAGGTGGAAAACATATTCCTAGGAGAAGAAATCGTGTCATGAAACAGACAAAGATGTTAAATATCTTAAAGGCAACAATTATGCTGCACTTAAAGAGATTCATCTATGATTATTTACTATGAACTGGAAGGCATATCATTGAAAACAACATGCATTTAATTCAAAACAGTTAGAATGAATTTTCAAGAATACCTTTTGCAGTAATTTCAAGATGTGTCTGCATGACTATTCTTGCAGTCAGCTTAACACTGTCATTGGAATCATTTGAATTCTCCTCTCTTTAATTTAGCATATTTTGATAGTTGTAACAAAAAAATTAGGATGCACAAACAGAAAAGAATATTGCTCGTGTCTCTCAAGAGCTAGCAGTTCAGCTTCCTTGAACCCTTTATTTCTTTCAGACAACATGAATTGTTTCAGGAGTTGAGATTATAAGCAACTTCTACATTCCATTCTACTGCATCAGCTCTGCAAGTCTGCGCTCATTTCATCAATAGGAAGTTGGCAAATCCCGGAAGTCCAAAACACAACAATATAAAGCTTTGACAACATTTTCCTGTGAATAAAAACAGACTTATTCCTAAATTCTGTAGTTGGTAGGTTTTATAAATATTCATGGAAGAATTACTACTAGAAACATACATAATTTTGAGGAGGTAAAGCTCAGGTCAGACATCAGAAATCAGTGACATAAGGCAGTGGGCACATACAATGATGCAATCTACATGGCTCTTAATGTAATTAGCAATACACAGGGGAATCTTACAAGGGATTGTTGGCATCGATTGTATCACCCCCATCACCAAGACCGACAGACAAAGGGCTATTATAGCCTTGTACTACATGGTGGGCATCAGTGTCCAGGGACTCCTGGCAGCTATTATTTTCAAATAGATACATTGCTTCCTCCAGAACCTGCTGAGTAACAAAAAGAATATCAAACAACATCCAACTTTAGAAATTTTGTGCAGAATTTAAGATTGCAGCACTTGAGATCATTAACAAAATTACAAGCTAAAATAGGGCAGAAGGTTATACGATATAAATAGACTACCTAGGGCAAAACATATTCCTCACAGGCCTTTGGTGAGTTTTATCGAGAATTCAGGTGCAGTGCCGTCCATCAGTTCATGATTTGAGTGTTGAGTGAAGACTAAAGACCCCATGTGACCTAAGAAGTTGCTTAGGGAACAAGGAAACTTTGATCCACATTCTTTTCAGAATTTCAAGTTTTCTCCATATTACGTACAAGGTCTCACGGACAAGACAATCAATCATGGGACTTCATTACATAATATCCAGGGACATTGGATAATGAACATAGTCTGAAACCTGCACATTCTAGTTTTCTATCAACATGGCCTACAACCAGTTTCATTGGAAAATTTTACTTCCATTCAGAAACAGTCAAGAACTCACACAAGTATGCATGAAAGGATTAATGCTAGAAATCTAGAGCCATATAAATTTTGAAGGCTGTGATTCTCAAGTTGGATACAGAAGCAACAACATACAGCATGCGATCTACTAACAGGAGAATATCACAGAGAGCTATATAGTATCACCAAGACAGAAAGCAAATCCCACTACAATTGTCCCAAGAATTGAAACCAATAGTACCTTGACAGCCTTAAATTGAAAACATTCTTGCTTTCTGAAGATAATTTTCACCACTAATCACCTAATCATAGGAATCTGACCACTTACACATATAATAGAAGAAAGCAGCACTTTGGAAACAAGAAGGAAACTGTACTACCTGAAACAGAGCAAGAGTTCTATGATAAAACATAGCATGTAGACAATGAAACCAACTAGACACGTGTCCTTAGAATCCATCTAACAAGCAAAAGTGCTGGACTTATGAACTTCCTCATGGGCAATTGACTAATTGATTTTGGATATACTGTTATCCAATATCTATGGTCTCTTTGACATTGAGAGACCAAAGGAGGATTCCATATAGCTATAGCCAAGTTCAAGACTCCAAAATAGTCACATAATTATAGCCTTTTGCACGGGTTTTCTCCAGATGACTTCTTATCAGTTGTCATCAGTAGTTTAAGCAATCCAAGGAGGTTGTTTCAATTCCTCAGGAAAAAAAAAAAAAAAAAAAGAAAAGGAGGCTGTTTCAAATTCTAGGAGACATCCTTCCACTACTGTCAAAATATTTCAACGCCTTCTAATTTACATATTGCAATTCTAGAGTTTGTTAAGGATAATCAACATTCACTTGGAGTCTTTTCTTTTACTTGGTGCCTTGGTGGCTATTAGAAGAAGTAAAACTTCTGTAATGTGCAATCCAAATTCCATACAATTATTTCTTAGAATTACTGTCAAGCAACAAAAAATTTAACAAGCATGAGTGCTTCCAAAATAGGAATTAAAAGGAGCCTTTAGTATGGTGCGACTATGGGGATTGAGCAGCTTGGTACTTTGGGAGACTTTCCTCTAGTACTCGGCCCTTAATTGTTTTTGGGTAACTTCTCCAAGATTTAATCAAAAATTTCCACAAGTCTAAGGGCTAGTGGACTACAACCTAAGTCAAAGATATCTAAGAGTAAGACTCATTATATTAGTTGAGTGCAACAACCTCAGGTCTAAAGTCATGTAGTCTTGAACTCTTGATGGCCTTTTCTAAGATTTCAGATTCGTCAAAACCCTTGGACTCTTGGTCATAGGCATGAGGCAAAATATTCACGATATTTTTGAATTTGGGTACAATGTGTGATTAACTTACATTATTATTCTTATAAATTACCATAGGAGTATTTGTAATCTCAATTTTGGTCAAGTTTCATCTATCGTCCTAAATTTTGGAATAGGGACCACCTGAAGAATGGAACCCTAGGAAGTGAGAGACAGATACATCCCTCCAAATCAAATTTACAACTATAACAGGATTTCAAGAGTATATATTTTGGGTTGCACCAATACCATATGGCCATTGCAGCCATTAGTGGATCTGAAGAGGATCCCCTGGTGCTCCATTAAGATCTTTTGTGGCTTCCTAGAGGATTTTACAAGCATGGGTAATAAGCTTGTAGCCTACAAAATTGAATTCGCCTTGCCAACTATCCATAATTATTCTCACTAAAATTGACAGCATCCAAATCATAGGGAGCACACATCATAATATATTGATGTCTAAACCAATTCTCTATCAGTCTATCCCAAAAAGACCAATCTGTCACCTCGATTTTCTCATAACACGCCTCACATAAAAATATAGGTTAAATATAAAAAGCCTAGTGATTTTACACAGAAAATTGTACTTGTCACAAACTCGAGGATATATTAACAGTGAACAAAAAAAAGTGTTTACAAGACATATGTTGACATTAGTGATGATTCTGACCTGGAAAACTCTGCCTAAAAGAAGCCTTAAATTTATCAAAGTGAAGCTCAACTCTTTCAGCAACATCATACATGTTCATTTGTCTAACTTCATCTAGAAGCCGACGGTATGTTTGATACCTTGGTACCAGCTCCTTACAAATCATCTCCTCAAATAATTGGAAAGCCCACTCACATCTGTCCACTCTACAAAGACCATGAATCAAAAGTGAATATGTTGAATCATCAAGACTAAGCTGATGCTTGACAGTCATATCATCCAGTAGTCTGCTCAAACAATTATCCGACATCCTCAATCTGAAGCACAATTTAAGCAATGGATAGAATGTCTGAAGGTCCGGCTTACAAAGTGCTGCCTTTTCCATGTCTTCCAAAACATTGAAAGCCATCTCTTCTTGGCCATACCGACAAAACATACCAATTAATGTATTGTAGGTACACGTGTTAGGATAAACACCATTCATTGGCATCTCTACTTTAAAGATATCAAAGGCTTCCGTTATGCAATGAGCTTTCCCAAGGGTATGAATCAATGCATTATAAAATTGAATGTCAAATTCACATCCAGCTGCTTTTGCTTGGTTAGCTATTCGCAGAGCATCTTCAAGTTTATCAGCCTTTGACAACAAAGACATCATAGTTGTGTAAGTAACAACACTAGGTTGGCAGCCCTGAGATTCCATCATCTCAAGTAACTCATACGCCTTATTCCAATTAGAAAGTCGGCAGTATGATTGAATGATAATTGAATAGCTTATGACACAAGGAGTGAAACCATGGCCTTTCATCTCTTGAAGCGTCCAATACGCTTCTTCAACCCGCTTAATTTTGCACCAACCATGTACAAATATATTAAAGGTGTGCACCGTAGGAGGAATATGAGCTTTAAGGTCCAAATAAACGGTCCGAGCCATCTGTACTTGACTCTCTTTGCAAAGAGTATCAATCAACAAATTCATGGACTCGGCATTCTTCTCTAAACCATAAGTAGGCAATTCATCAAAAGTCCTCACAGCATCGTTCCATCTACGAGAACCAGCAAACCTTCTCATTATTTTAGCCATAGTTCTAAGAGTGATTAATTTTCTCTCAAGCATTTCACCCTTCAACTCACTCATCTTATTAAACTGCCTTGCCTTTCCTAGTATGTCTACCATTAAATCATATGCTCCAGGCAAATGCTCAAAACAAGACCGCGAATCAGCCCATCTAAAAACAGCATAGGCCGATTTCCAATCATCTTTAAACCGATGAAGCAACGTATCAACAAGGGCATGACTAACACTAATTCCCTCACAAACTTGATCATTTAACAATGAACTCAAAATCTCCTCCTCACTACTACCAACACGAACCTTATTAACAACTAATTGAATCTGCTTAGACAATCCTTCTGCCAGGCTATCAAATTCCCTAGTTTCGGAATCCGAAGATGTCGAATAATTTGCATAATCGTAACCCTTAACATAACTATCATTCTGCAAATGCAAAGGTACTAATGCAATCACATGTTTTGCAACTCTTTCATTCAAACAATTTCTAACTAGGGTTTTCAACAATAAATTTGGCAGTCTAATTAGAGGCATATTCAAGCAAATTTGAATTCGAATGAATTAAACAATCACAGAAATTGAGAAAACCCAGAGATTGATTTACCTAAGTACAAACGAACGAATGAACAAACTAGAGAATCTGGAGTTCTTGAAAATTTAATCCTCGAATTGAATTGTAAAACTTTGGTTGTATTAGTAATTTACTATTTTGTGATTGTTGAGGAACTAGAGGAAGAAGATGAAGGGAGAGACTGAAAAAGTGAAAATTAGTGTGAGCTATTGAAGCCCAACACAACAGTTACCAAAATAAACTCCGTACTCCGCATTTGGAAAGCAGTATCGGTTGACGCACGGGTCGTTTTTTTGGTTGGCAAAGAAAAGGGCTTATCGCATCGAAACTTCTCACGAGTCACAGATTCACCCGGCCGTGTAAATGGGTCGTATTTGTATTACTTCATCCGTTTTTAATTATTTGTTCCATTTTTTCATGTGCGGAGTTATAGGGAAAATTGGATAAAGTAATAAAATAGAAAAGTAGTGGGGTAGGTGGAAGAATAAAAAATTATAAAAAGCAAAAATAATTGAGAGAATTGAAGGTGAGAGAATATGAAATTAATAAAATATGATTTATGTTGAATTCACTAGTTGAGAGAAATGAATTAAATATTGTAAAAACTTTCCAAATAAGAAAATGGAGCAAGTATTTGAAAACGAACAAAAATAGAAAATGGAGCAAATATTTTAAAACAGAGTGATTATTTAACTTATTTTTGGGTTGTTTTTGTGTTACTTGTATATGGACTATGGAGTAGGTTGCATTTGTATTAGAAAAATGACACAATTTGCATAGTCCCACTCTACTCTCAAGCATTGACCTGTTGAGCTAAACTAGCTTAATTTGTGAGAGGTGATGGTTTAGTATGGTCATTCATCTTACCTGTATGAAGTAATTTTTTTGTTTACGGACATTATAAATTGGTATATTGGTATGAAGCCTGAATAAACAAATGGATGGATTATACATTTATACATCACCTAATTATACATATTATGTATATATATTAATTAAGCAAAGTTGGTGGGAACTCACCTTATGACTTTAAGGTCATGAGTTCGAGCCCCCCAACTACATCTGGTTGGGAGCCCTTAAAAAATTTATACCTATATACTTTCCATCTTACAAATTTGTTTATGATTAAGTAGAAAATTACCTCAAATTTGATGGAAAAGCCTACGTAGAAGGTAAAGACATGCGGTTCCAAATACCCTAAGTTAGACCAAAGTTATCATTGTGACTACACATTGGGCTAACAATTGAGAGAAATATGATCGAGTCATTGCAAGAAGAAAGGAAATTATTACGAGTTATGGTGTGTAGTTATTTTCAAACCGAAATAAATACAAGTACTACGTACTTTTTGACTCTGAATAAAGGTATGAATAGCCCTTGAATCATTTTACAAAATTATGTAAGTTGTCTCTCATATGTTTCATACCAGTGCCAAAATCAAACACTAATAAGCAAAAGTGCAATTGAAATATTTATAGATCAAACTAAGTTCATGGGCTTCCATCAAAACATATGTAAGATATATGTGAACTAGCATTCCATCTCCTATGGAAACAGGCAAAAGCCTCAACATTATTCTGCATTTCACACCAAAACTCGAACAGACATCAACGCAAACACAAAACAGTTCCGGTCCATTTACTTTTGATGAAGCTAAGCCAGAAAAGGAGATCAAGCTTCGACAGAAGCCATGTACACGATCAAGTCGACCACTCTAGAGCTGCAAGATATTAACAAACACAATTTTTTGTCAGTCATGGATTAAAAAAAACATGAACGACTTTTGCAAAAGGATCATATCGAAAAGATCCAACGAACCAACCAACTAATGAGTAATGACTAATGACTAATGACTAATGAGCCTTGAATTACCTGTATCCCCATTCATTGTCATACCAAGAAACCAACTTAACAAAGTTCTTGTTCAAAGCAATTCCGGCTTTTGCATCAAAGATGCTTGACCTATATTTACAAACAATCCGTAACAAAGTTAAATTATCGATTATCAAACAATGTGTTACAATTGAGAAATAACTTGAAACTACAAGATTGTCAAAGCAATGTTGAGATAGAATTACCTGCTATCACCTACAAAATCCATGGAAACAACATCATCTTCTGTGTAACCCAAGATACCTTTGAGGTTGCCCTCAGATTCCTCCCTGTTATTAAAAGTTATAACATATAAATATTAAGTCAAGCATCAATACAATCAGAAATAATTCAACCAAAAACCTCAAATTTGTTTTTACTCACTTGATAGCGGCTTTTATTTCATCATAAGAAGCATCCTTTTCAAGCCTCACAGTGAGATCAACAACCGAAACATCAACAGTTGGAACGCGGAATGACATTCCAGTTAGCTTGCCATTCAATGATGGAAGCACCTTGCCCACAGCCTGTAAATTCAATGTTAATTAGGAATCTAAACTGCGAAACAAGCTAAGGGTCTCTAACAATTTCAAAATTTAGTAATTAGCTTCGATATATCAATCAATAGGAAGAGAAAATTGTACTACCTTAGCAGCTCCAGTGCTGCTAGGAATGATGTTGAAGGAAGCCGCTCTTCCACCCCTCCAATCTTTAGCAGATGGCCCATCAACCGTTTTCTGTGTAGCTTTACATTCACACAAAGATAACAAGAGAACAATGATTTTTAGTAAAATCGTTTACAATGATCAAAGCTAGAGCAGCAAATGAGAACAAGCAAAAAACACTAGACAAAATGTCGAAAACTTGAGACATTTCGCCCTGTGTTAATAGCCTAACTAGCCAAGTAAAGAGACAAAATTCACAGGAAAAATTTAATGTTTACCAGTGATGGAATGGACAGTAGTCATAAGTCCCTCTACAATGCCAAATCTATCATTGATAACCTGTATTTTTTGAACAAAACTCGATATTATATATGAAAAAACAGCAAAACATAAGAAAGGACTCAATCGAATTTTAAGGTTTAGAACTGTTAGTGATCAAACCTTGGCTAAAGGAGCAAGGCAGTTGGTAGTGCAGCTAGCATTCGAAACAATGTCAATTTCGGGTTTGTATTCCTTCTCGTTGACACCAACAACAAACATTGGTGCATCTTTGCTAGGAGCAGAGATTATCACTTTCTTAGCTCCACCCTTAATTCATAACATTTACATCAGATCAAAAACCATATATTAATACTATAATGAGCATATTTGAATTAAGAAAAAATGTCAACCCCATTTGATTTTAGTTTGCTTTACAAATCACCATATTATATACATACTCTACCAGTACCACCAAAATTACAACAACAAAACAAAATACAAATACTAATATAAAATTAAAATTGTATAAGGTGGAATAAATTATATACCTTCAAATGTGCAGCAGCTTTTTCTTTATCAGTGAAAACTCCAGTAGACTCAACAACATATTCAGCTCCAGTTTCACCCCAAGGGATCTCTTCTGGGTTCCTATAATCAAATTTATCAACCCCAACAAAATTATTTGTAATTTCTAAAAATTCCACAAAATAAAAAATTCGTACTTTGCTTAAATAATCATGTTCTTTGTCTTATCGTGAGACCGTCTGATACAAGAATTTGCGTAAATAAAACGGAAAAGTTACCTAGAGGCAAAAACAGTGACAGATTTTTCACCAAAAAGAAGGGTGTTTGAATCCTGAACCTTCAATTCATGGTGATTCCATTTTCCATGTACAGAGTCATACTTGAACATGTATGTCTGAACTAAAAATCACATCAAATTCAATAAATATAGTGTTCAAAATTTGATTAAATTAAGGAAAATTTTGATTGTAATGATAAAAATTACCATGTAATCAGTGGAAATGAAAGGGTCATTAATAGCAACAAGCTCAACATCATCTCTTTGAAGAGCAATTCTGGCAACCAATCTACCAATTCTTCCAAATCCTATCATATTAAATTTCTCAAAAAAAATTATATATATATATAAAAAAAAAAAAAATATTCAACCCATGATAATTATCAAACAACTACTCCTTCAATGTTGTCAGTTTGTCAAGTTACAACTTTTCAATGCAGGTTGTGACTAATAATTTGGAAAGAAAAGAACATATCAATAATATCATTAACCAATTACTTTCATCGATTTAGTGCATGTCACGTTACTAGTTCAATAGATTAGATATCATACAATCAATAAACTGAATAGCCACCATCAATTTAGTTGTCACGTTACTTTTTTTTTTTTTAGAAAAGTTGTCATGTTACTAGCTCAATGTATGCATGACATTTTATTCTGAATATGAAGAGTGTAGGTCATTAATCAATAACATACTTACCATTAATTCCAATCTTGATCTTGTTTGACCCTGTTACAAAATCAACGTCATAAAAATATAATCATCACTCATCAAGATTTGAATTAAGAACAAGAAATAAAATGAAAAGAATACAGAAATGTAATCAAAATTGACTCAAATGAAAAAATTTAAAGAATTACCCATGGTTTCAAATGACGAATAGAAAAAGATGATTTTTTTTAAGAGAAGGGGTTTATATTTTTTAGATAATGCGATGAATTATGTTTTTCAAAGGGTGTTTTTATAATATTGAGATTTAACAGCGGTTATGAGTAGCTGCTGATTTGGTCGATACCAAGAGGCGGCAAGAGCCAAAAAAGGTGTATTTCTTGAACAAAAAGAAAATGTCTTTCTTGGACCAAAAGACACCTTTTTTTTTTTCCTAGAACTTTATTGGGTTAATATATTAATTATATTTGATAAAAGTGACTAAAGTACATTATAAACCATTAACTCAGGCCAATTTACGACTAGTGTTCTGACGAGCCAAATGTTTTATAAAATTACCACCTTGGGAGAATATGCCAAAAGGTTGAAAGATGGAAATTATTGGCTTATTATTTAGGGTAATGTTATATGCAATGTTCCAAATAATTAATAAATACATTTTTTAGAATAGTATAAATATAGCAAATCATGTCAAAAGCATGCGTAGATTTTATCTTATCTAACTTATTAAAACTATACTTATCTAACTGAAATTATCTAACTTAACTTATCTAACTTAACTTAACTTATCTTATCTAACTTAATTTCAGTTGTAAGGCCCCGTTTACTTCACCTTATTTTTGCTGAATAGAAATTATTTTTATTTAACTGAAATTAATTTTACTGATTTTTTGTTATATTTCTTTTTTAAAGTTACTGTTTTTTACTGAACTAAAATTATTTTTACTGAACTGAAATTATTTTTACTAAACTAAACTTATTTTTGCCGAACTGAAATTATTTTTACTGAACTGAAATAATTTTTACTGACTTTATATTTTTTATGGAGAAGTGAATATGGCTTAATTTGAACT